TCCTCCCTCCTCCCTCCTCCCTCCTACCGTTCTTCGCCCGCCACGCGAGGGCGTGGGGATGCCTCGTGAGCTGCCTCCAGCACGGCAGCCTCGGGCTGCAGCGCCCGCGCGCCTCGGCCTGCTGCGGACAGGCGAGGACGGCTCCGTGAGCGAGCCCATCCCGACGAAGGTGAAGCTCGCCTTTGCCGCGCCGACCGTGGCGAGGGGGGGAAGGTCGGGGGCAGCCAAGCGGGGGGTGATGACGAGAGGGGGTGGATCTCATGGCGAGGGCCATGGTATCTCCCCGGATCTCATGGCCCCGTCTTCCTTCACAGCGTCCCTTGGCCCCCCCCTCGTCCGCGCACATGCCTCGGGCCATGATCTTCGGGCCCTCTTCTTGGACGCCCCACCTTCCGGCCGCCCAAGCGCAGGGAGGTGTGCTGCCGACGGGGGGAACGTTCAGGGGGGGGTGTATCGGGGATCGGTTCAGGGGGTCGGCTCAGCAGATAGTCTCAGGGGGGGAACGTCAGGGGGGGATGGGGCTTGAGGCTTTCGGGCTTTTTCGGCGGTTCTCGGAGATTTTCCAGCCGCGAGATGCCTTCCAGCAGCTGCGCCTCGCCGGGAGGCGTTCTGGGGGTCCTGAACGGCCAGCGGAGAGCCGAGTTATGACCCGAAGACCGGACGGCGAGGATCATTGCGGGTAATCGGTTCAGGGGGGGATGCATCGACCCCCAATCGGACATTCATCGCCGATAGGGTCCCGATAGCCCATCCCGCCCAGGAACGCGCGGATTCGCTATCGGGGGTCTATCGCCGATCTATCGGCGATGTATCGCCGATTCCAGGTCGATGGTTCCCCCTCTGAGCCAGTCACCCTCTTAACGTTGCCCCTCACCGCTGCTCGTCCTGGGGGTCCCTCGTCGCCATGGCTAAATTCTCCTCCAGGCGCACCCCTGGCGGAAGTGCGAGGGGTTGCGGTATCGGTGCCTTTGTGTCCGGTCAAGGGTGGTGGCGGAGGAGGATCGAGAGGAGGAAGGGTGGCCAGGGGGCAGCGGGAGCGGGAGCGGGAGGGGCCTGGGGGCGATGATGATGCTGATGATGATGATGATGATGATGATGATGATGATGATGATAATGATGATGATGATGATGATGATGATTATGATGATGATGCTGGTGATGGTGATGGTGATGGTGATGGTGATGGTGATGGTGATGGTGATGGTGATGGTGGTGATGATGATGATGGTGATAGCGATGGTGATGGTGATGGTGATGATGTGGATGATGAGGATTATGATGATAATGATGATGATGATAACGATGATGAGGATGAGGCTGATGATGTGATGATGATGATGATGCTGATTATTATGATGATGCTGATGATGCTGATGATGATGATGATGATGATGATGAGGGTGAGGATGGTGATGCTGATGATCATGACGATGACGATGACGATGATGATGATGCTGCTGCTGATGAGGATGGTAATTATGGTGGTGGTGATGATGATGGTGGTGGTGGTGATGATGATGCTGACGATGGTGATGATGATGATGATGATGATGATGATGATGATGATGGTGATGATAATGAGGCTGATGCTGCTGCTGCCGCCGACGACGACGATAATGATGATGCTGATGATGATGACGACGACGATGCTGCTGCTGATGATGATGATCATGATAATGATGGTGATGATGATGATGAGGATGATGATGTTGATGGTGGTGATGGTGGTGGTGATGGTGATGGTGGAGAGGGTGATGGTGATGATTATGGTGATGATGCTGGTGATGGCGATGCTGATGCTGAAGATGCTGATGATGATGCTGATGATGCTGATGATGATGATGATGATGAGGATGACGATGATGAGGAGGATGAGGATGAGGATGAGGATGAGGATGAGGATGAGGATGAGGATGATGATGATGATGATGATGATGATGATGATGATGATGATGATGATGATGATGATGATGATGATGATGATGATGATGCTGATGATGATGATGATGATGATGATGATGGTGATGGTGGTGATGGTGGAGGTGATGGTGATGATGGTGAGGGTGATGGTGATGATTATGGTGATGATGCTGGTGATGGCGATGCTGATGCTGAGGATGCTGATGATGATGCTGATGATGCTGATGATGATGATGATGAGGATGACGATGATGAGGATGATGATGATGATGATGATGATGACGACGATGCTGATGATGATGCTGCTGCTGATGATGATGATGATGATGATGCTGATGGTGATGATGAATTTGATTACGATGCCGATGAAGATGATAGTGATGACGACGATGATGCTGATGCGTCAACATGTCCCATCCTCGCGGCTGGTTCTGACTCCACATCTCTCTTGCGGAGGCTGGCTGCAGAGTTGCGTCGTCGGCGGCGCCGAGGTGGGGCTCTTCAGGGGTAGCTTTAGGGTGGGGTATGCCCAAGGGGGAGGATGCATCGACCCCTAATCGCTCATTGATCGCCGATGGGGGCCTGATAGCCCGCCCCGCCCAGTACAGTGCGGTTTTGCCATCGAGGGTCTGTCGCCGATCATTCGGCGATGTATCGACGATTCCGGGTCGATGTTCCCCCCCATCCCCCCTGAGCCAGTCGTACCTTATCGTTCGCCCTCGGCTCTGGAGGGAAATGCGGCCTTCCCTCGCAGAGCAGGGGGCTGGCTTGTTGTGCAGGCCCCTCCCAAGGGGCATGCCCAGGCGGAAGCCTCGCCCCTTCCGTCCGCAGGAGGCGGCCGTACGCCATGCGGCCAAGACGCTGAGATTGATAAGGACCACTCTTGGCTCAGGAACGGCTCGGGCTTTTGGTCCGTTCCTCAGATCTCGAGGGAGCGCAACCATGGGTCAAGGCGCGTGGATCAGCGACGGGCCCCGCTCCTATGCAACGTCGGCGCGCTCCGTCGCCAAGTCAGGCGGCCCGGTTCCGTGTTTCGGCCGGGGGGGGGGGGCACGTTCCCTGGTCCGTGGGTTTGGATCCCGTGCGCCAGACCCACTGGTCCTTACAGTCGAAGTCGATAGTAAGGATGGGTGGCCTTCTCAAGGGTACCCATCCTCCTGCCCCCCCTGCTCGCTCCCGGACGACGGAGGAGGAGGAGGAGGAGGAGGAGGAGGAGGAGGGGGGGGAGGAGGAGGAGGAGGTGGAGGAGGAGGAGGAGGAGGAAGAGCGAGGAGGAGGAGGAGGAAGAGGAGGAGGAGGAAACGGAGGGAGGAGGAGGAGCAGGAGTAGAGGAGGGAGGAGGAGGAGGACAAAGAGAGGAGGAGGAGAGGAAGGGAAGCACAGGAAGTGATTTCTCTTCCTGATGAGTTCCCCTCCTCGTCGTCGTCTTCGTCCGTCCTCCTCCCTCTCCTCTCCTCCTCCTCGTTGCCCTTGTCTTATGCTAACCCCTTCCATGTCGCACCCCCCTACTCCTGCTCCTCCTCCTCTCCTCCTCCTCCTGCTCCTCGCTCCTCCCTCACCTCTCCTTCTCCTCCTCCTCCTCCCTCCTCCTCCCCTCCTCCTCCCTCCTCCTCTCTCCCTCCTCCTCCCCCTCGCTCCCTCATCCTCCTCCGGCCTCTCCTCCTCCTTCTCCTCCTCCTTCTCTTTCCTCCTCCTCCTCCTCCTCCCCCTCCTCTTCCTCCTCCTCCTCCTCCTCCGTTTCCTCCTCCTCCCCTCCTCCTCCTCCCCTTCCTCCCCCTCCCCCTCCTCCTCCTCCTCCTCCTCCTCCTCTCCTCGTCCTCCTCGTCCTCCCTCCTCCTCCTCCTCCTCCTCCTCCTCCTCCTCCTCCTCCTCCTCCCCCTCCCCCTCCCCCCTCCCCCTGCTCCTTCTCCTCCTGCTCCTCCTCCTCCTCCTCTTTCTCCTTACCCCCTTTCGTTGGCCAGCCCCGCTCGAAGAGCTTCGACATGGCTTCCCAAGGGGCGTGCGCCCTGACCGCACACCCTTGCTGTCGGCTTTGGCCGTGATCAATGTTGGCGCGCGCCCGAGGATCGAGGTCGTGGAGCCCGCTCGTGGCCGCGGCTCGCCGAGGCCAGAAGAGTCCCTTTTGTTCCCTTACAGCGGCTGGCTTCTGGCAGCGCGATGGCCGTGCGTCACCGCCACCATCCCTGGCCCGGGGCGACCGCCTGCGCGTGAGATCAGAAGGGGAATAGGTACCCATACCGCTACTCTCCGCCCGTTTTCCGCTTTTTGTCCTCCTCGGAAGCCCTCGTCGCCACCGCTGGATTCGCCTCGACATTCTAGTCAGAACGCACGCCGGGAGAGGTCCTTTTGGTTTCCCCATAAGAGTGACCTTTCGCCGGAACGACCTTTGGTGCGCGCCCACCAGGCTCCCCGATCGCCGAACGCGATGCGGTAGTGGCGTCTTGCGCGCCTGTGCTTGGCCCCTTCCCCCCCCCCCCGCGGCCCCCCAAAAGTCGCGCACCAAAGGTCACTCTTAAGGGTTACTCTTGCGTGTAGTCGATGCATGGGCCCCTTGGTCGAAGTCGGGAGGGCAGGTGCACCAGGCCAGGTTCAGGGCAACGCGAGGGGGGATCAGCGGGGGATGCATCGGGGATAGGCTCAGGGGATAAGCTCAGGTGAGGTATCGTCAGGGAAGGATAGGGCTCGAGGCTCTGGGTTGTTTTCGGTGGTTCGCGGCGGTCTTCAGCCTCGGGAGGCCGTCCACCAGCTGCGCCTTGCAGGGACACGTTCCTGGGTTGCCCGGATCGTCCCGAACGCCCCCAGAGAGCCGAGTTCTGACCCGAAGAACGGACGACAAGGACCACACAAGGGCCACCGGGTGTGACAGGCTCAGGGGCAGAGGCATCGACCCCCAATCGCCCACTGATCGCCGGCAGGGTCCCGATGGCCCATCCCGCCCATGAAAGTGCGGATTCGCCCTCGGGGGCCCATCGCCGCTCTATCGGCGATGTACAGTCGGCCCAGTCCTGTGGCGATGTGGCCCTCGGAAGGGTCTTGTGTCCTCTCGCGCGTCCCGTTCAATCGAGTCCGACTGCATGGCCGATGCCAGGTCGGTGTTCCCTTCGCCCCCCGAGCTGGTCCCACCCTAGCGTGTCCCCTCACCAGGGCCCACGACGGCCTCGGCCAGGGTCGGCGGTGGTGCGCAGACGTGCTCTGCTTTTTTTTGTGTGTGTATTTTGTTTTTTGATGCTGTTTTGTTGTTTTGTTTTGTTGTTTTGCTTTTTTTCCCCTCTATCTCTCTCTCTCTCTCTTTCTCAGGGCGCCCTCGCGATCGGTTGAGGCGTGCGCTCTGGTCGAGTGCTGTCGGGGCCGAGAAGATGCGTCGGGGATGTTGGAGGCAATGCTGCCTTACGTTGTGATGTTCTCCCTCTACGGGAACACCAGCTACGAGGCGCGCCCAGCAGGGGGGCGCTGCCGCAGTGCGCTCCTTTCGGCGGCAGGGGTCCAGACACTCTGCGCTGGCCCATGGTCGCGGCTGCACGGTTTAGGAGGAGGGGTGGTGCACTCTCGCATGAGTACAGCCGTTTCAGAAGGTCGAAGTCTCTGCAGCTCATGTGGTGAGTTCTGGGCGAGGCTGAGGAGGAGTAGGAGGAGGAGGAGGATTTCTTCATGGTAGTAGTAGTAGTAGTAGTAGTAGTAGTAGTAGTAGTAGTAGTAGTAGTAGTAGTAGTAGTAGTAGTCGTAGTAGTAGTCGTAGTCGTAGTCGTAGTCGTAGTCGTAGTCATGGTCGTAGTCGTAGTCGTAGTCGTAGTCGTAGTCGTAGTCGTAGTCGTAGTCGTAGTAGTAGTAGTAGTAGTAGTAGTAGTAG